TATATAATATATTTATATAATAATATATTATACATATTATTTATATAATAATATATTATATATATTCAAATCTATATTTAAATTGTAACTGCTCTTGTGGTAATGTGGTTATGCGTCATGTTTTGCATATATTTGATCCAGGTTCGAATCCAACATTCTACATCTATTTTTTCAGTTTAATTTTAACGAGCTAATTTCGAGTCGAACACGAACACAATGTTCACGAGCCGGTTTCTAACACGAGCCGATTTCGAACACAAACAATTTCGAACAAGCCAAACAACCCAAGCCTGTGCTCGCTCAAGCTCGGCTCGTTTATAGCCCTAGCTGGGAGAATGCTGGCAGCAGGTTGGAGGGAGGACAAAAATAAACGGTTGTTGGGGAAGAGGTGCAGTGCCTGTTGTAGGGTTGGGAAGCGGGTGGACAACAACGGGAAGGGTGAAAGGATAGATAAATATCTCGTCGGGGTCCAGCTACAGCCAAAGTACTACCTGAACCCGTGGAGACGATCACCACCTCGGACGAGCGACAGTCGGAGCACTATCTCAACATCGGATACAGCCCTCGAAGGGGAAAATATCAAGGCTAAAACAAAATTTCAAAAATAAAAAACAAGTCCCTTAACTCTAAGCACACCGCCTCCTATTTATAAAAAATAGTGCTAAGGTACAGTGTACACTATGACATACATTAGTGAACCAATTAGTTAAGCACAAGTAGTTTTGGTTTTATGTTTTATCTTTTAATTAGTTTCAAGAAATTTTCTTTCTAAATACCATGGAGTACTTAAAAATTACATCTTTATCATTATAAATACGTTTAACACCTCTGAAGGAGCAGTAATGATTAACATTACATTTATATCCTATCAAAATAGCACAATTGATTTGATCATGGCCAATACCATGATACATAAGAGCTCACCATCGAACCGATAAACTTCTCATAATTTACCATAGGATTATAAGAGATGAGCTGTCCATAAAAAAAAAAGTTAAAAGCACACTCAAGTCCAGGATTAAGACTCCACAAGACCAGCAACATTAAGAAATAATAACATGTATTTCTTTTATGATCACATTCATCGATTCTTCTTTATATTGGATTTTGCCAATCTTTCTTTTATGTCCAATCTCTTTTCATATAAGTTCAGTCCTTACACATGGCCAACATGTACAATTATGATCTTTGTAATGACTTTTTTTTAAGCTTTATGATGAATTCTATGACGGATCTCCCTCGAATATATCCCTTTTCCAATTCTTCATTTTTCTACAAGATTTAAATCACAAAAGAAAAATCTTCAACTTCATTTCATCCTTGGAAAATAAATACTCTCAAGTCAAATACACCATCGAGTTCCCATAGACAGATTCATACCGGTGGAGAAAGCCCAAACCACAAAAAAACACAAATATTAATATTGAATTTGAAATCGGTAACGACTCTTCAAAACATGAAATAAACGACAAACAAATACAAACATAAGCTAGCGACTTGAAAGTATATCCCAAGGGCGGTGGAGGTTGGCCCAATAGATTTGGAGGCTTGGGGACAACAAGTGTGAAAGTGGGAGAGGGGTCGGCAGTGATTGGAAAGTGAACCGAAGGAGGGAGGCAGCAAGTTAAAGTGGCGGGAAGGTTGGTTGGGCGGCTGAGAGGCAGGTTGGAAGGGGGGGTAGCAAGCTGGGAAGATGGGGCAGCAGCGGGGAAGGCTAGTCAGCACTTTCGGTGGGTGGACAGAGAACTGAGAAGCGCTAGCAACGATGGGAAAAGCCTGAACAACAAGGCAGACTGTTGGAAGTGGGTCGGTTGAGTGCTGCGAGGAATTCTGGACAGGTGTACAACAAGATTGGGTTGTTCAAGAATGACGGTTGAGTGGTGAGATGGAGTATTGGGAGTTGTGACCTTGCTGGGAGAATGCTGGCAGCAGGTTGGAGGGAGGACAAAAATCAACGATTGTTGGGGAAGAGGTGCAGTGGTCTGTTGTAGGGCTGGGAAGTGGGTGGATAACAACATGAAGGGTGAAAGGATAGATAAATATCTTGTCGGGGTCGAGCTACAGCCGAAGTACCACCCGAACCCGTGGAGACGATCACCACCTCGGACGAGCGACAGTCGGAGCACTATCTCAACATCGGATACAGCCCTCGAAGGAAAAAATACCAAGGCTAAAACATGATTTCAGAAATAAAAAACAAGACCCTTAACTCTAAGCAAATCACCTCCTATTTATAAAAAAGCTTGACCTATGTTAGGAAGGATTTCAGATTTTGGAAAGACATTCAAAATAAAAAAAGTTGAATAAAAAGCATTTTAGATTTTTGCAAAGTTTTTTAAAATAAGTAAGGAGAAAAAAAAAGATATTTCAGACTTTAGGAAATGCTTTTAAAATAAACATGGAAAATAAAAAGAGAATTCAAATTTTAGGAAAGAGTTTTAAAATAAAGAAGCAGACTAAAATTAGAATTTCAGGTTTTAGGAAATGATTTAAAATAAAAAAGTGCATAGGAAGGAAAGGTGAGAGAAAGGAAATGTTAGGAAGCAAAGGGAAGAAAGAAAAGGAATGGGGGAGAAAAGTGGAAAGGAAGGAAAAAGGGGACGAGAGAAAGAAAGAAGGGAAAGGAGGGGGTGGTAGCCCCGCTCCCTTGAGGACTAGTCGGTCCTCCCCCGAGTCCCGCATTAGTCTCCCGGGTTTGAAAGAGCTTCGACTTCATCTGTCTAAGCTTCTGGTTCTTTGTGGTCGTTCCTAGATCCCACTGACGACTGCCCTGCGAGCTACCTCTCTATCGATCTGTTTTCGTTTGGTATAATTTAACCTGAAGGTACACATCGCCGTAGGTTCTCCCGAACCAAATTTTGAACAACTAATTCATACGCTTGTTATCTATGCCAAGTTGGGCCTCAGCGGGTTTAAAGGTTTGCAAGAGTGTGGTTTGCAAGAGTATGGTTGATGGGTGAGTCTTATTATCTTTTGGGACTTCCCTCTAACTATTGAATTTTGGAGAACTGATAACTTTTGCTTTGTTTCAATAACAAGAGTTTCACCTTGGCCTTTCGTCTCTTCATGTGGAACACTGGGGGTGAGGGCTGGAAGTGCAACCGCCTGTGATGCTATCAGTTGATCGTTACTAAGACCATCCACCGAAATTATTCTGATATCTTTCGATCTATGTGACCTTTGTATGTCTCGACAATAAGTTCATTTTCTAAGAGAGTAGAATCACGATCTCATTAAAAGTCAAATGTTCCTTTTTGATCACATGGAGGAAAGAGATCGAGTGTATCGACGAATAAGAGAGTTTCCCGGAGGAAGACATCATCGGATAAAAATTCTCATTTGAACTGCTCTTCAGTGTCTGCGTTGTACTTTACCCTAAATTTCAATAGCGTCCTGCTCAGTAAAATAGATTGCTCCCCTCGTTGTGCATTCTGCTTCCA